AGTGGGCATGCGGGACTCTGCCAATCCTGCCTTGTCTGTCCTTGGGCATCTCTCGGCCCCTCACTGGAGCCTCGGCTCCCTCTTTGCAAAATGAACTTCTTGTGACCTACTAAACCAACTCCTCTTATTTCAGATCTGAGAGGGACAAAAGAAGTGGGCTGGGCTGTTATTTTACCTTAACAACACACATGTCCTTTTTTGATAACGAAACATCCTACTTGTTCTTTGTAGGGTACAAGTGGAACAGCAAAGCTTCAGGGAAATGGATAGGGGCTTACATTGAAATACACTTCAGTCCAAACCAAGTGGGGTGGCACATGCCTTTAATCCCAGGACTTGGGAGGCAGAGGTAGGCAGATCTGAGTTTGAGTGAATTCCAGGACACCTAGGGCTACACAGAGAAACCCTGTCTCAAAAAAAAAAAAAAAAAAAAGAAAGAAAGAAAAGAAAACAAAAAACCCAACTGAACAAAAGAGAGAGCGAAGAGAAAGAAAAGAAATAAGAAATATCCTCCAGTCGGGAATGGATGGGCTCTGGGACATAACAGACTTTGGTCTGAAGACTAGCCATGACCTAATTGGTTGTTGGGTCAATCACTGCCTCTCTAAAGGCATCAGTTTCCTCATCTGTAAAGTGGGCTTGTTCAGACTGTCCAGGCTGGTTATGTGGTATGGTTAAAATCAGTCAGGCACTTACTTAAGGTCCAGTGTAGGAGGTAAAAAAGTGAAATTTTTTTGTGGTACTGGGGATTTCTGAGGTCTACGAAAATCCTTCCCACACTCCCTTGGTCCTGCCCTTTTTAAAACTCGTGGCCTTCTAGAGAATGCCCTTGTTTTTTTTTTCCCTGCTTCTTTACCTAGGGCATTATGTATGATGTTAGGCAAGCGGTCTACCTACACACCCAACTGCGCCCCACCCCCACCCTTTGCCTCTCCTTTGTTACCAGTTTTTTAGGTTAGCACACAAAGTAATGGGTTTCATTACGGTACCTTCATACATAGGTGTCACTATACTTCTCCCTTCCCATGTCTGCCCTCCTCCCCTTTCTTCCTCAGTTAGTCTCCCTTCTGCCTTCCTTTTGCACATATTCCATTACTTTTTCTTCTTTTTACCTTTTCTTCTGAGGCAGGTACTAAGCTGCCCAGGCTCGTCTTGAACTGACTGGAGTCACTTTTCTGACTCAGCCACTGAAATAGCTAAGATTCAGGCTTTTGCCACTTGTTCCTGAGACAGGGTTTTGTGCATGTCAGGCTGGGCTCTGCACTCAATATTACCCAAGAACACACTGAACTCTTTTTTTTTTTTTTTGGTTTTTCGAGACAGGGTTTCTCTGTATTGTTTTGGAGGCTGTCCTGGAATTCACTCTGTAGACCAGGCTGGCCTCGAACTCACAGAGATCCACCTGCCTCTGCTTCCTGAGTGCTGGGATTAAAGGTGTGCGCCACCAACGCCCGGCTTCACACTGAACTCTTGATCCTCTTGCTTTTATTCCCAAGTGTTAGGGCAGCAGGCATGCAAAACTGCGCCTGCTAGCTAGCTTCTAATGGATTTAGCAGAAGCAGATAGTGCTGCTAGCCTCTGCTTACCTCTGACTGCCCCTTCTCTTCTTTCCTACCCTCCAAGCCAGAGAACCTGCTGTACTACAGTCTGGATGAAGACTCCAAAATCATGATCTCCGACTTTGGCCTCTCCAAGATGGAGGACCCAGGCAGTGTGCTCTCCACGGCCTGTGGGACTCCAGGATACGTGGGTGCGGAGAGCCCTAGGGTGGGGCTGGGGATGAGGAAGGAGCCAGGAGATGCAGGACAGACATTTGTCACTACCATGTCCTCTTCCCTCCACAGCCCCTGAGGTCCTGGCCCAGAAGCCCTACAGCAAGGCCGTAGACTGTTGGTCCATAGGGGTCATTGCCTATATCCTGTAAGTGGGGGCATGGGCAAGGTAGTCTGTGACTAGAACTGTGTTCCCTGCTTTGTCCTCTCCTTCTATACAAATATGTTCCAGCTAAATACTAACCCGCAGGGGTATGGAGAGATGGCTCAGTGGTTAAGAGTGCTAGCTGGACTCAGGTTCAATTCCCAGCACCCCCATGGCAGCTCACAACTGTCTATGACTCCAATTCCAGGGGATCTAGTGCTTTGTTTTGTCTCTGCAGGTGCATACACATGGTGCACAGCCTTACATGCAGGCAAAACACCTAGATACAAAACACAAACAAAACAACAACAAAACCCTAACAGGCTTCATTCAAGAGATGCCATGTTTCCAGCACTGTGGGAAGCACCGAGGATTTAGCAGAAACCAAACCAAGCCATGTGCCTGCCCTTAAGAGTCGACACATAGAGAATCAACGAGTAAACACATCTATAAAGTAGTGTTTCCTGGTAAAAATAAGAAAAGTCAAGCAGAGTAGGAGATGGGGAGAGATGTCATTTCAGATAGCCAAGGGCTCTTTGGGGAGGTGACATATGAGTGGCTTTGAGTGATGTAAAGGAGATAGACAATTTAGGTGTGGGTAGAATGTCAAGCCCAAAGGTGCTCAGGACAGTAGAGCGGTTCAGAGGACAGAAGGCCAGCCTGGCAGATGGAAGCGAGCAAGGCAAGGAAGAGAACTTCCTGTGGGTACTGTCTGGTTCTTAGCACTGCCCCAACGCTCCATCTCTAAGCCATTGAGTACATTTGAAGCTGACATGACGGGTTTTTCTCCGCCCAGGCTCTGTGGCTACCCACCCTTCTACGATGAAAATGATGCGAAACTCTTTGAACAGATTTTGAAGGCCGAGTATGAGTTTGACTCTCCTTACTGGGATGACATCTCTGACTCTGGTATTTGGGTCTTTTGCCTTCTTTGTTTATGCTCTGCCTCAGGGGCCTTCTTCAACTGCTCTAGGGGGTCTCCCCACTGTCTGTCTTCTGTCATGCCTCCTAGTACCAGCCTAGAAGCTGATGTCACATTTCACCTTGGGTTCCCTCTGCTTGGTTCTAATTGGACAGATCGATACACATTCATGCAGTCTTCTAACATAGTAGTTACAAAAATACTTCCCCTAAGGCTGACTTCCCTGAGGTTTAAACAGCATAAATATTTCCATCTCCCATTTCATGACTACTTGTGAGGGTTGTCAATGGTTTACACACTAGTGTGCATGTACTGAGTGGATTCTTCTGTAAATATGTACTCAAGAAAGGAGGGAACTAGAAGGCTGGGATGTGTGGGGTGGTGCATAAGCAGACTAGGCCTCGTTGTCTTGCCTCATCAGGAGAGATCTGAGGGAGTGAGCACTGTCTTGGGGGTGTCCACAGGTATGGTCATGCTGTAATCTTTTGCTTTTGTCTTGGGGCTCAGCCAAAGACTTCATACGGCACTTGATGGAGAAAGACCCGGAGAAGAGGTTCACCTGTGAGCAGGCCTTGCAGCACCCATGGTGAGAGCTCCCACTCCGAACGAAGTGTGAGGTGGGGCCTGGAGGACCCAGGCTTGCCTCCAGTCTTACAAACAAACCTGCATATATCCCGATCCTAGGATCGCAGGAGACACAGCTCTGGATAAGAATATCCACCAGTCAGTGAGCGAGCAGATCAAGAAGAACTTTGCCAAGAGCAAGTGGAAGGTCAGCATCCATCCTAATCCCGGTCTGCCCAGACTCTACTTGCACAGCACCCAGTACCAAGTGCAGGACCTACCCAGGAGGTTTTCCAAAGCATTTCCTTTTGTTCACTCAACAAAGGCTACTTGACTTCCAAAGTCCAGGAGGGTCCCGGTGTTCCATCTCTAGAGGGACAGTCTAGTCTCCAGGATTCACATGATGCAGCCAGTGGGCTCAAGAAGGGCCAGAAAGGGGCCACAGACCTGTTGGTTGACTAGTAATTAACCATGCACAGAGGCAGAGGGAACAGGGGTGCAAAGAAGCCAGGGTAAGAGGGTGTGGCCAAGGGCTAAGCCCTCTGGATTATTAGAGAGGCTGGAGGAATTTAGGGGACTAATTGTCAAGAGCCTAGGTTGCAGAAACTGGAAAAGGCCACTGGGATCCTTGACTGCTACAGTGGGGGCACCCACCTGTTATAGAGGATGATCCCAGAAAGACAGAAGGCAGGAACTGGTCCTGAAGAAAGATCTGCTTTCAGGATGCAGAGAAGGCAAGGAGGGAAGCCTGGGAGGCCCAATAGGGTGTAACAGAGATGCTGCAGATAGTGGGGCTTGACTCAGAAGCAGCAAGAAGAACACAGGATGACTGAAAGCAGGAGACAGACTCACAAGAAAGCAAAGATGAGAGGCATACTGAGGGAATGAGGTGTTAAGGGCTGGCCCAAACTTTTGGTTGGCACAATGTGGACATGGTAATAACATGTCTTGAGGGGGGCTTAGTTTTCAACATGGTCAACTTGAGAGACACATAGGACATCTAGGTGAATAAGTTGAATATAAAATGAGAGAAACAAGTATGTAAATTACTTAACCTTTGTGCACTTCAGTTTTCTCCCTTGTAATTAATGCTATCCCAGCACTTGGGGAGGCTGAGGCAGGGGGATCAGGAATTCAAGGTCAGCCTGCCTGGGATGCATGAAACCTTGTCTCAAAAAGGGGAGAGGCGAGTATATAGTTCAGTAGGCAGTGATTGCCTAGCATGCATGAAACCCCAGATTGGATCACTAGCATCCCATAAAACTGGGCATGGTGGGCCGGGCGGTGGTGGCGCACGCCTTTAATCCCAGCACTCGGGAGGCAGAGGCAGGCGGATCTCTGTGAGTTCGAGGCCAGGCTGGACCGACAGCCTCCAAAACAATACAGAGAAACCCTGTCTCGTAAAAAAACAAAACAAAACAAAACAAAACAAAACAAAAAAAACCAAACCAAACCAAACCAAAACAAAACAAAAAACAAAACTGGGCATGGTGGTGCATATGCCTATAATCCCAGGACTCAGGAGATAAGAGGCAGAAGTGGAGGATAGCCTGAGCTATATCAGAACTAATCTTTAAAAAAAAAAGAAAGAAATTAATGCTATTAATAGTGCTTGCCAGAGCCAGGTGCAGTGGTATACACCTTTAATATCAGCACTTGTAAGTCAGAAGCAGGCCAATCTCTGTGAGGTCCAGGACAGCTAATGCTACATAGTGAGACCCTGTCTCAAACAAACAGACAGACAAACAAACAAACAGTGATTCTGTCTCAAACAAACAAACAGTGCTCGTCGGCCTGGTGTGTAGCATACATATGCTTGTAATCCCAGCACTTTGAAGACTGAGGCAAGGATTCATAGCAACACTGTCTTTTTAAAAAGAGAAACACAAAAGTGCTGCCTCACAGAATTTTGTGAGGATAAATGAATAACCATGAAACATGCTCAGAGCTGTGCTTAACACCCAAGTGTTTGTTACATGAATATGAATTCCCTTGTACACATTTTACACATGTGCTTGTGTGTAAGACTGAATATAACTTAGTAAGGCCTTACAGGTTTCTTGGGAGGACTTGGGAGTCACTAAGGAACGTGGGAACAGCAGTTGCAGAATCACTTCAAGACTCCTACTGCCAACCCCTAGCCCTTGAGGATCTTTTCAGCAGTCCCCTTCCTCTCTTCCCACAGCAAGCTTTCAACGCCACAGCCGTGGTTCGGCACATGAGGAAGCTTCAGCTGGGCACCAGTCAGGAGGGTCAAGGACAGCCAGCCAGCCATGGGGAGCAGCTGACGCCAACAGCGGGGGGTGAGAACCAGGGTCTGTGGAAGGGGTCAGGTGGTCCATGGAGAAACAGAAGGCTGAAGCTGGAGCTGGGGTCTGCTCCACAGCCTCCTTTGCTCTTTTCTCCACACAGGGCCAGCAGCTGGCTGTTGCTGCCGAGACTGCTGTGTGGAGCCAGGCTCGGAACTGCCCCCTGCACCACCCCCAAGCTCTAGGGCCATGGACTGAAACACCAAGGAAGTCAGGGTTCCTTTCATGGGAGGGGTTGGGGGCAGCCTGCTTCCTCCTCACCCCAGAACTGGGGAGTTTCTTACCCCATACCCCGTCACCCCTTTCCCTCTCACTCTTCACTGCGTTTTCCATACAAATGTTTCTATTTTATTGTTCCTTCTTGTAATAAAGGGAAGATAAAACAAGACAGCTCAGTTTTCTCAAACAGCTCCCTTGCCCCTGCTATAAAACTGACTGCTTGATTTGGGGGTGCTGGCTGTCTGAGGTAGGAGTGGTGAGTCTTCTTGACATGAAACTGGGTGGGGATTTAGAAGAGAAGTGGAGGACAAAGGGAAAGATACCAATGACATCTTTCGTCCCCTGGGTCCTACCTAGCCTTCTGGACTCTTAGAGACCTTCCTGCGCTTTGCTGGCGGCTCCCGAGCCTGGTTTGGTTGGCGCAGATCAGCACTGAACAGCACCTATGGGAAGAGGCATACGGAATCTATGGGAGGAGCAGATGCTGAAGTCAGGGCTGGGGTCAATGGAGAATATTTGGGGAGAGGGTGGGAGTGGGAGTCATGTGAACAGGTGGCTGAAGAGTCCAGGGGTCAAGCAGGGCTGAGGGAGAAGACCTTTAGGGTCTGAGCTACGTATACTTACTGCTTGGGCCCAGCCAGCATAAGGTCCCCACAGAGTCCGGAAAAAGTTTCCTAAGTTAGAAGGGAGGAGGCTACATGAACTGATCCACATGTCCTCCATCGTCAGATGGGGAGTGTGGGACAGACGATTAAGAGCACAGAGATTCTCCAACCTCAGCCCAACACCCCAGCATCACACACTCTCCTCACCCAGTTCTTTGTTAGCCAGGGGGCTCGGTCCCTTAGCCTGGGATGTATTAGGGTGCCAGCCATAGTCACGCTGGGCGATCTGCCATACATGGACGTCCACAGGCACAGCCTGGGGTTTGTCAAGGGCCATTAAGCAGATGCAGTCAGCCACCTTTGACAAAGAGAGAACTGTTGTGGAGGAATGGCAGGATCTGGCCAGCATCCAAAGCCATCTGCTTCCTCCTTCCACTAAGGTAGCACTGTTTGTTCTGCAATTTCAGTCAATACGCAGTAATTACCATTACTTCTAAAAATAGCTTCAGGAAGACCTGTTCCTGAGTGAACACCTGTGTAGGCTATGCTCTCATATAACCTGGGGAGAAGGTATGATCATGCTCTTTTTAGAGACAAGAAAACTGAGGCTCAGCCAGGTGGTGGTGCACACCTTTAATCCTAGCCCTCAGGAGGCAGAGGCAGGCAGCTCTTTCCAGCCTGGTCTATAGAGCGAGTTCCAGGACAGCCGGGGCTACAAAATATAAACAAAGAAGAGGAAGAAAACTGAGGCTTTGAAGGTTAAGTGTCTTGGCCAAAACCACACAGCAGAAATTAGACAGTGCCAAGACTTAATGCCAGTCCATTAGTTTCTTTTTTGTTGTTGTTATTGAGCCAGGGTTTCTCTTGTAGCCCTGGCTGTCCTGGAACTTATTCTGTTGACTATGTTGGCCTTGAACTCAGAGATCTGCCTGCCTTTGTCTCCCAGTGCTGTGATTAAAGGCGTGTGCCTGGCTCCATTAAAAATTCTTTAAGCCAGTGGGGCTGGAGCGATGGCTCAGTTGTTAACACTGGTTGCCCTTTCAGAAGACCCAGGTTCAATTCTTTACACTCACATGGTGGCTCACAACCATCTGTAACTCCAGAAAATCGGATACCATCTTCTGGAGCCATATATGCAAGTGGTAACCAAACATACATACAGGCAAAATACACATATACAGAAAAACATTTTTTTAAATTTCAAAATTAAGTGAAAATCAATTTTAAAAATTGCATATATTTATCTAGTCATGGGGCAGGGGTCAGAGGGAGGTCAGAGGCCAACTATGGAAGTTAGTTTTCTCCTTCCACCATGTGGGTCTCAGGGATTGAACTCAGGATGTCAGGGTCGGTGGCCAGAACCAAAAATTTATTTTATTTTATTTTTTTTAAAGATTTACTTATTTATTATGCATACACTGTTCTTTCTGCATGTACACCTGCATGCCAGAAGAGGGCACCAGATCTCATTACGGATGGTTGTGAGCCACCATGTGGTTGCTGGGAATTGAACTCAGGACCTCTGGAAGAGCAGTCAGTGCTCTTAAACCTCTGAGCCACCTCTCCAGCCCTTTATTTTAATTTTTAAAGACTTGTCTTGTGTGTGTATGCCATGTGTGTTCAGGTGCCCATGGAGACTAAAAGAGGGCATCAGATCCCTTGAGACTGGAGTAAGAGACAGTGATTGTAAGCCACCTGACACTGGTGCCAGGAACCAAACTTGGGTCCTCTGGAAGAGCAGCAAGTGCTCTTAACCTCTGGGCCATCTATCCAGCTCCTGAAAATTCATTTTAAGCCACAGAGGAGTATAAAGAATAAGGACAAATTATAAATTTCAATTATCTGCTAGAATGTATCTATTGACATCAACAAATATTCTGTAAGTACATATAATTTCAAGAAAAAAAAAAGTAGAAACATCTTTCCATTTGTCTTCCCAAAAGTAACCAGTATTAACTTTCCTGTTCTTCCTTTGGAAATTTCTGCACCCATACAGTAGTGCACATAAATGCACTGACACAAAGAACCTTTCTAAGAATTTATCCAAAGGGAAGCCTCTCTTATACTCACTGCCTTTGTCTCTGATAAAATATTTGCTAGTCCTCTGTTCTCCCTGTATTTCTTCCAGCACTCAGGCTCCCCGGGATACTCAGGTCTGCCTTGTTTCCATCTCTCATACTCTCAGTGTGGACAAGGGGACATTCCCTATGTCTCTGGGGCCTCACCTTGGTGCCCACCCCTGGCAGGGTGCAGAGGGCCTTGTGGGCCTCTTCATATGGGGATTCTCGGAGTTGCTGCAGCCAAGCCAGCCCGCCTTGCTCTTCCAGGATGGCTTTGGCGCTGGCATTCACATAACGGGCCCGGTACCCCAGACCCAACTTTCTGAGGTGAGCCTCTACCTCTGGACCTGTGGGGTAGAGAGGAAAGGAGAGGTCAGGCATCCTCGCTTTGTTCCTGTTCTCAGGCTAGTGTATAACATCCCCACCCCAATGCTTTTCTAGGCACTTCTTTATTTACTGTCCTCTAGGAGTCACTGGACAGTTGGATGTGAAAAGAAAACAGTTAAGACCTGAGTTCTGGCCCCATAAATGTTTTCTTAACACCTCCTCTGTGCTGGGCTCTGGAGCAGGGGCTGAGGACTCTGGAGGAACCCCCGCTTGAGCTCTTTAGCTGTATTCAAGAAGTGCTCACACCATGGCCTAGAAACCTGATGCAGAAGTTTGAGATGGCTCAGCAGGTGAATGCACTTGTTGCATAAGCCTGACGACCTGAATCTGATCCTCAGAGCCCGCATAAAAATCCAGATGGAGAGGCTCACATCTGTAATCCCAGCACTCCCAAGGTGAGACGGGAGGCAGAGACAGGAGAACCTGCTGGAAGCTCACAGGCCAGGCAGCTTGGATATGCAGCTCAGTGACAGAATCAAGAGACTTGCCTCAGAAGAACTGACTTCTGAAAAGTTGCTCTCTGATCTTCATGTGTGTACCTGCACTTGCACGCATACACACCCGATCTTCACGTGTGTACCTGCCCTTGCATGTGTACACACTCACCAGTAAATTTATAAATATGATGATAACAGCAAGCGCTGTGTGTATGTCACACATTGACTGGCAAAGTGTGCTTTCGTAAGGGTCCCAGTGACAGCACCTCTGTGCTGTCCATTTTACAGAGATGAAGTAGGGACTTAGAAGGCGCTAGAGAGATGGCTCAGCAGTTAAGAGCACCGTTGCCTTTGCAGAAGACCAGGCTTCAGTTCTTAGCATCCACATGCTATCTGGCATCCATCAGTAACTCTAGTTCTAGGGGATCTGACACCTTTTACTGACCTCTGTAGGCACCAGGCATATGCACATTGTGCACATGTAGACATGCAGGGAAAACACACATAAAATACATACTTAAAAAATAAAAACAAGACAAAAAACTAAGAGAGATTGAGGAAAATACCTGACACTGATCTCTGACTTCCACAAACACATGCATTTAAGCACAGGCACACATACATGCAAGCACTACATCCTACTCACTCATCAACCTCCACCCCTCCAACACAGAGAGAGGGCATGATGGAGATAGGATCTCTCACTCAGGTGGAGACAGGAATGCCCAAATTCTTTTCAACACCTCACCTTCGATTTATTCATTCCCAACCCCTTCAAAATAGAAACTGACATTCCCATTCTATAAAGAAGTTTAGCCAAACTTAGAGAGGTGAATGAATTCCTTGAAGACTTATGATTATTTTCTGAGACAGGGTTTTCTATGTAGCCCTAACTGTCCTGGAACTCACTCTGTAGACCAGGCTGGCCTCAAACTCAGAGATCCAATTGCCTCTGCCTCCTAAGTGCTGGGATTAAAGGCGTGCACCACTACCTTCCAGCAAAGATTTACAATTCTTATGCCAAGAGCAGAGACTTAAGACCTTTCTTAGCTCCCCAAAACACCCCCATGTTTGAGAATGTACCCAAGGCAGGCTCCTTGCTATTTAGTCCCTAAGCACTTCACCTAACTTAGTCTTCATATCTGCTAACCAATATACTTGCCTTAATGGATAAGTGAGTAGGATTCACTATAGTGACAGCAGCTTAAAATTTCCACTTATTTCCTGTGTGTCAAACACTGCCAAATGCAGGATGTATCTCCCTTTATTCAGTCATTATGATTCTGAGAAAATATGTAATATTTTCCATTTCACAGACTCAGGACTGAAGCACACACATGCTAAATAACGTTTATAACTGTGAGAGCTAGGATTCAGATCTAGGCAGTATGTCTCAGATCATATGCCTGCAACCGTAAGCTACTGAACATTGTGTACAGATGTTTCTCTAATGAGGTACTAATATACTGGCAAATATACAACTAGGGACGTGCTGATGTTTCTGGGATGAAATCTGAAGATGAGTTGTAACTGGAACTGATCAGACCAAGTATGGTGGTTCTGGCTGGAGACAGGGTTTGGGGTGGTGGGGAGCTCTGAGGTAGGAGCTGGTAGCTGGGGAGAACGGGACAGGTCTTTCTATCCAAATACTCACCAGCCAGGGCCTGGAGGCTGGGGAAGCCATGGTAAATGACATCATCCAGCTGAATGAGTCGAGGCCCAAAGGCCTGGCATAGCCGTTCTACCATGCCAGTGATTCGAGCAATGTTGTTGTTGGAGGAACAGATGAAGGAGAAAAGGCATTCTGTGGGGTCTTGTCTTAGCAGTCTCACACCTAGAAATCAGAAAGGCAGGGGAAGGAGACATGCCTGTTTTAGGATTGGCTTCCTTGAATCCCTCCACATCAGACACTATATTTAGAGGCTCCAGGGAGACCCAGGAGAATGAGGGAGAGAAATCAATGCTAGACCTCTCATGTCTCGTGGCATTTTGTGAGGCTGAGTGACCATCCCATTCCAGGGGGTGGGGGGATCACAATGCAGTCACCACAAGAGCAGGGTTCTGTGTTCATTTTCCTCCTTCTACAGCCCCAAAGAACAAATGCTCTTTTGTATATAATGACAGAATGATGTCATCTGCTCCAGGACACAGCCAGGATTAAGCCCCATATCTTATCATTCACTGTGGTCATCATTATCATCATTACTATAATAACAGCGGCAATGTACTAAGCACTAGCCTAATCACTTAAAAAGTAAATTTTATTTATTTGTTATTATCATGTGTACATGAGTGTGGGCATACTGAGAGCCATGGTTCCTGAGGACAACCTTGGTAGTTGGTTTTCCTTCTACTGTGGGTTCTGGGCATTAAACACATGGTCACCAGGCTTGCATGACAAGCGCCTTTATCTGCTAAGCCATCTCACTGGCCTTCCATCTCTATTTTACACAATGGGCAAACGAAGTCACAGGGCTGTAACTTAGCCAATGACTGTCCAGAAGTCACAATCCCTGCCCCTTGGCACTCACCTTGGAATTTCTGAGCCACTCTTTGGAAGTGGGAATCCACAGAAGCCCAGTGGCTATACAGCTGAGCCAGGCTGACATCCAGCTGAAAGTACTTGTGTAAGGCTTCCAGCTCCTCTAGGGTGGGCCTGCCGACCTGGCTCTTGTCTCTTCGGTACACGGTGCAATAGAGCTGCTCCTCCGTCTGTGTCAGTGTCCACACTTGATCTGCCAGCACGCCACTCCAGTGTGCAGGGCTTTGCTCCCTCCACCTGAGCACCCCAGTAGAAAGCTCTAACACTCAGTTACCCATCTTGCGCTCTTTAAGGGCCCTCCTGTTTTACAAATGTCCCACCCAAAAACTGACTTATAAGTTAGTTACAAAGTAAAAGCAGTATGGTTTTCATGTAAAAAAAAAAAAAAAAAAAAAAAGGAACAGGGGATTGCACCTAGAGCCCCGTGCATGAAAAGTAAGCACATTTCTCAACTTTCCCACTGATTTTTACATGGTCCTCACAATCTGCACACTCACTACATCTATTTCATAAAGGAGGAGGCTCACCACTAGTGCTTATACATCAAAGTGCACGCTCATCCATCACTCCCAACATTTTTTCTTTTTTCGGTTTTTCGAGACAGGGTTTCTCTGTATTGTTTTGGAGGCTGTCCTGGAACTGGCTCTGTAGATCAGGCTCACAGAGATCCACCTGCTTCTGCCTCCCGAGTGCTGGGATTAAAGGCATGTGCCACCAACGCCCGGCTCACTCCCAACATTCTTACTCCCATCATTCTTTGCATTCTGGAGGACAAGTATTGAGGGGTCAGCATCCCAGGGAAGGGTCCTCTCAAGCGCAGTCACTCACCGGAAAGACTGCCCAGAAGCTAAAACCAGGTCCAGACGCAGCTCAGAGCGTGGACACGGGATAGAAGCCCAGAGGGCCGGGCTGGAGGTTAGGGTGCGATGCTTCATGCTGCTAAGCAGACGAGAGCCGAGTAACATTCGGATAGCAGTCTCCGGCACATCACGGCCCCGTCCACTCAGAACGCGACCTTCCGGAGCCCCAAGGCCTACCTCGCAGGTGACCACGCGCCCTCAGGGTGTAGCACCTCGCGTCCTAGGCTCTGGGTCTGGTGTAAGGCCGGTCCCCGTTTGAGTCTCCCTCCCCTGGTAGACCAGCCTCCTGCAGGGAGTCAAAGTCCTACCCTGCCCACTCTCCTTTTCTGCGGAGCAGGCCCCTCCTTTTCCTCCCGATGTGGCCCCGCCCCCAGAGCCTCCGGTCGCGTGCCTTCTCCTCCTGCGCAGCCGTCGGGGTTTTTGGAAAGCCGCGCCAGTGAGGCTCTTCCGGGTTCTCGCTCACTGTCACCGGAAGTCGATCCTAGCCCCTGTTTATTTGATCCTAGAGGTAGCCAATCCGAGGAGAAAGTGAGAGGCGCCAATGAGAACTCGGGTGCGGTGGAGTGGGCGGGTCTGCCTGAGGAGCCTTAGCGGTTGGCTTGCCGGCCTCGCAGCTGGCGATTGGTCGCCCGCGGCCGGACTCTGCCATCTCAGGGCTTTCGGTGTGATCTCAGGGTTTGCGACTTCTCGGGCTAGTCCGCTCTGGAGCCACATCCTTGCAAGGCGTGGTGGCACACTCGCGTCGTCCCAACACTCTACAGAGGCGGGAGGATGGTCGCACGTTCGAAGCTGAAGTAAGCTGGGCTACATGGCGAGACTCTTGTCTCAAGAAACAAACCCAAGGAACCTCACCCTCCCCTGCTCAAGCCTTTCTCCACGGAGTCTCTTTTGAGGCAGTGTGAGCGAGTCCCAGAGAATCCTCTTTTCAGCGCTGACTCCCTCCACCTCCTGCTATGAGGCTCCGAATGTGCCATCTCGGCCTTCCTTCCCTCCAGGTTCAGAGGCCCAGCGTGCAGCCGTAGCTACCCTCTTCAGTCTGGGCACGTTCCTTCAGCATACCCAGTCTTCTGCCCACACATCCACACGGAACAGGATCTGTGTATGGGCTTTCTTTGGGGTTCACTGAGTCCAAGTACCAATACATGGTCCCCAGGCAGCCTAACAGACCTGAAAATTCAATGGCAGCACCCTATTGGTGGCTACCTTGACCTTAAAATGACTTATCACTTACAATTTTCTCGAAGATGTTAAAAAATGCTGGGGGCTAGGCGACATGAGTTTGAGACATTAGTCTGACACACTAGGACATTTTCCAGTTAGCATAGAGATTTTGGGGGTGTACCTAAATTGCTGGACTACAGATTTGAAAGCAAGGTCTGCTGCTGATTTATCTTTGTGTCCTGTGTACAGCAAGGCACAGCGCGCCTGCTAGAGCACAGTAAGCATCAACATGCAACAATGTTTTGTTTTTGTTTTTTGGTCTCAGTTCGTTCTAAGTAGCTGCAAGGCCCCAGGCAACCATGGCTTACTTTGGTTACCTCATCTATACGAATGTCACCTTACAGGTGCCAGGCACTTAGAAGGCATTCCCTCCAACAAGTGTTTGAATTGGAAAAAAATGCCGAGGTTGGATATGTATGAACAGTCTTGTACAACCTTACTGCTTCCAATTAAGGTCTCAACTGTAATGTTTGAAGCACTTAAGCTATAGTCCTAACAAAGGACTTGAACCATGTGGAATCCACAAAGGAAGTCAGCAGTGAACTCTTCATCTGGTTTTAGCATGCTGGCTGAAGAGCCACCTTTCCAGACAAAAGGGCCTGAGTTTAAATCCTACCTCTACAACTTGTTAGTTGTAGGAACTTTGGCAAGTCAGTTCATTTCCCTTAATCTCAGCATCTGAGATAACCAACCTGTTATTAATCAACCCCATAAATTCTGTGAAGATTACACAATAGTGTACCTAAAGGTACTTAATATGGGCCTGTCACTGTAGAGGTAACCAACCTATTATTAATTAGCCCACCCCATATTTACTGCAGGGATTAGAAACAATTTATTTGTAGATACTTAGGGCGTGCCTGACACTCAGTGCATAGGAAATGGGAGCTTTCAGCTTTGTTGTTGGAACTTTTTTTTGTTTTGTTTTGTTTTTCAAGACAGGGTTTCTCTGTATTGTTTTAGAGTCTGTCCTGGAACTCGATCTGTAGACCAGGCTGGCTTCGAACTCACAGAGATCCGCCTGCCTCTGCCTCCCGAGTGCTGGGATTAAAGACATGTGCCACCAATGCTGGGCTTGTTGAAAGTTTTAAAAAGAGGTTTTTGTTATGTTATTCTGCCTGGTCTTGAACTCATGGCAGCCTTCCTGCCTCAGCACCTCAAGTCCAGAGATTGTAGGACTGTGCCATAATACCCAGCTTGCTGGTGTGTTGTCTTATGCCTAGCATGCACAGTAGGCAGCAAACATTTGGGCACAAGTATGTCTCATCCATGAGGCACAGATCTCTCCCTGTGAATCTTTCTGCCCGGGGCAGAAGGCAAGAAAAAAGAATTCTAAGTAGACTTTATTTTCTAAGAATCAATATATTTTCTTCCTTTGAAATAAATACAAACCAGTTTGAAAGGTAGGGGGGAATTCTATGGGAAAAAGAAAGGAAATAGAGACAAGCTCCATTCTTTTTTTTTCTTTTTCTCTTTTTTAGTACCAAATGACTCTGGCGCGACCCGGAAACGCAGTTACAAATGAGAATAATTTAAATTCTCCAATAATTACAGTATTTACAACAGCAGGGGAGGGGTCACCTAGTGCCCCTCTTCCAGGCTAGACAGACATCAATCCCACTGCTAGGCTGGGATAATGCTGGCTTACCTTACCACCTGCAAGGGCCTCAGGCCTCTAGGCAGTTATGGATTCCCCTGGCACAAGCAGGTAGGGGTGGTGATATGGTGTGTTTTATGCAGTATTCTCACCATGTCCCACCATCCTGCCCTACAACACCATGAGGTCTTGAGCTCTTTTTGACCCGTGGGACCTCTCCTCTCCTTGCACTGAGTGGCCATGGGCCCTTGGAGTGTTTTGTACAGTCCAGCTGCACTCAGGGCAGGAGGGACCTCCCCCACCCAACTTCCCCTGAGACTGGCCCCAAGACCAGGAACTAATCAGTGCAGAGGGCGGCACCACTCCAGGACAGTGAGCAAAGGGAAGGAGAGCGGTCACAGAGCACTGTAGTTGGGCTCTGACAGTATCAGTCACTATCGCTGGTCTCGCTGCTCTGCTCACCCTGCACCTTGCTGCGGTGCTGCAGAGCCCTGTGATAGGCAATCTGCACTGACTTGCGGATGTTGGACTTGCGGCCCTCCAGCATCTTCTCTTTGTCTAGATCCTGGTTCACACCCAGAGGAACGAGTTTAGTCCTGGGCAGCCACTGCCTGTCAGACAAGGTAAAGAGATGAGGCATAGATTTCAGGGGGAACAAGTAGTAGCCCATCCACACTCCGTGCATTTAGAAATGCCTGATTCTCAGTATTCCTGCTCTCAAGGGACTGTGTAGTATATAGAGAATAACCCAGTCAACAGTTATAGTAGGGGGAATAACTCAGTTATACGAGGAGGAATAACTGATACAAGAGAAACCTGAAGTAATAAAATTGATGCTATAAAGGATTTACTAAAAGACTTGCTTAGGAAATATTAAGTTACACAAAGTAGAAGTTAGGTAAAGGATTTCTTCCTCAGATATCACTGGAAGGTGAGTAGTAGACTAACCAGGGGTGTCAGAAACTGTAGCAAGGAAACTTTTGTACCATTATGGCAGTTTAGGGTTGCTGAGAAAATGTTTCTGGTAATGTTTGTTCACCAAGATTGACCTCCAATTGATCTCCACTCTCAGAACAAAAGGAGGCAACACTGATGTAAAAAGAGCCATTAGGCCCATTCCCATATCAAACAGCATTCCTCTAAGGGTCATCTCAAGGTGGCAGTGCAAGTGACAGCCATCATTAATGGCTGGTCTGCCATTAAGTGAACCTCTTATCAGGGAAAGCATAATTCTGCCAAGTGGGAAAGATTACCCTGGGTTACAACTATTCAGAAAAAAAAACACTGGTGTACTTAAATAATTATGGTAATTTCTTTGCTATATAAATCTCACTGCCCAAGTGGCCAGATTTGCAGTCTCCTGTCTCTCTTGTAACCTGGGAGCATGGCCTAGAAGAGATTTAAGATGACAGTGTATGTGGAATAGAGAGCCTAAGACCTATAGAAGTTGTTAAATATTCTGTTTGAGGCTGGTTCCCTTTTGTGCATTAGCCAGAATCAGTTGCATGGTATTATTATTTTGGTTTTTCGAGACAGGGTTTCTCTGTGGCTTTGGAGGCTGTCCTGGAACTCGCTCTGTAGACCAGGCTGGTCTCAGAACTCACAGAGATCCGCCTGCCTCTGCCTCCTGAGTGCTGGGATTAAAGGCGAGCAAACACCCCCCCCCCCAAGTATGAGGAGTGATTTCTCACTGGGAAGACATTAATTCTACGGCATAACCACGGGGCATTTTATGGGTATAAAAACCTCAAATAGGTATTCTAGCCCAGCTGTTTCAGAGAGACTATACAGATTATCATCTGCAGGCGATTAACAAAAAATTGACAAGAGGAATTTAAAGCCAAATTTTCTTCTCCTTTTTGTTTTCTCAGTGTAGTCCTAGCTGGCCCCGACCTCAGAGATACGCCTGCCTCTGCCTCATGAGTATAAAGCCGAAATGTTTATGCTTGCTTTTCCCCCTTCGTTACTATAGATGAAGTACTGGGAAAAGTAAGTCTAGAAGACATCTGAGTGTGAGCAGGGAGGGAGCCACCCTACATTTGCCAGTCACGGATGGTCTCTTAGTTTGTAGTTACAGTTGTTTGCCAGCTCCTGCCCACTCAGCCAGTCACTCAGGACAAGTACACCCTTTTGCTTAAGCTATTCTAAGTGTGCCCCCTCAATACCTTATAATAACCTAATCTGTTGTTGTGTCTCTTGGCAGTCTGCCCTACATCACAGTTGGCCGTGTTTATATCTATGGCTTTAGGTGACACCAAATGCACCCCCTCTTTTCTTACCAGGTTCGTTTGTTGTCAAAGAAGAGAACGAGGTAGAGATGCTCTCGGGCTTCCTGTGTCATCTGTTCCCCAAGTTTTAGAACCTCCAGTGGTGGTACAGGGATGGGAACCCCATGGTGGAACATACCTTCTCGGGGCATCTTTGGATCAATGATCTGAGGGTATAATACAAGCCCAGTTTGGTTAAGTCAGTTCTTCCCCAAAGCTACCATTATCTAAGAATTAAGACTATAACTGAAGAATATGTTACTGGGACTGTGGTATTGATCTTGCCATATTATTTCAAGTCTAAAGGGCAAGAGAAGAGATAGCGAGAGGTGAGAAACTAACTGGGAT